GCCTTGTCTCCAGTACCATTCTATTTAGACCCAATACTAGCCCAAAATTCTATTTTCGCTTTTGAGTGACTACCGGTTTTCAACTTACCACGACTGTCTCGGTGTAGATCGTGACCACTTTTCGGATGTCGTGCGATGTTGCGATACTATTTAGGGTCTTCTCTTATTACCTGGCAGGTCTGATGCATTATAAAGGTGTGAATCCCGTAATCATGAAGATTATTGTTGAATAGGAGTAGTGAAATATTCGTTTAAACAGAACGTGTTAATTCCGACACGGACTACGAGGAAAAATAGTATGAGCCAAAGTTCCGGAACTCGGCGCTTCTCGAAAAAAAGACCAGTTGACCAATTCAGTGTGAGTTTGTACAACAATGAACCATGCATGTACTTTCGTTCGCCGGTTTTGGTTGTTGTCTTTGGCTGTCCATTTGGATGAACAGTAAGAAAAAGACAGGAAAGTTTAAAGTAGAGTAGAACAGAAAATGGGGAACTTCAGTGAACTAAGGTCGCAAAGAAATTGATAAGGTGCACAAACGCCATTGTTTACGCACTCAGCCATATCACTCAGTGTCCTTAACCACCGGTTACGATCATCTCGAAGTCCCCAGCTAGGTAGCCTAACGGGACCTATGTGACCCAATCCCCTGGTTAGGATTTTTATACCCTTATGCCAGGTCTTAGCTTGACCACCCTCGGCTTTATTCCACCCACTACCTGCCTCGGCGAACATCGCTTGCCGTTGCAAGATGCGTGGACCGACGCCGTTGAACATTCTTTTATAGTTACCTGGTAAAGGTAGCCTAACGCTTGTGATCGGATGTCGCGAGCAATTGAAGGTGATGATGTTCAGTGGAACTACTTACCAAAGTAGCGTTGCTTTAGTTCATTGCTGTTTGAGAAAATTGGAGAGTGTTCATGTGACCTCTCGTTGCTCGGATCGAATAAGTGATATCCTTTTTCAACATCTTTAACTGGAGAAAAGTTTTTGTTTGCTCTCCGCTTTGCACACACCTGAATGGGTTGAAGTACATCATAATTGTGATTAGTTTTATGATCCGAAAACAGTGACGTTTTCAATGGTTTTTTATCCAGGGTCTTTCATTGACAGTCATCAAATCGTTGTTTTACACTCATGTATGTATTTGTGGCAGTGAGAATTGCAATTGGGAGCCACGGCATGATTTTTCTGTTTAAGATGTGGGATAAAACACGATGTTTCATATTTAGTTGTCATCTTCAGTAGACTATTTTGTGTCCTCCAGCCACAGTATCATTCAGTCCGGTCCGTCGGGAGCTGACTTGTGTTTTGCATCACTGTTTATTTCGATTTCAACCATATCATGAACGATGACCTATTCGATGGGATCACCGGCAACACTTCAAGTTAACCTACTCAGAGTTATAAATTTGGCGTGCATAGTCTTGATCGCTAAGAGGAGTAGTGGTGTTAGCCTACCGATCTGTGTTGTGCACTAACAAGCATGCCTTCTGTATCCGTCTACGAACTATGCAGTTCACGTTCCCGGTCTTACTCATCTTCGTTGGCCTGTTAAAAGCATAGAATTAATCGTGTGAGCTGCACCGAAACGATCCAGTCTTCTGAGTTGTACAGGAACTGCTTGCATCCGTGATTGCAACTCATAAATATGATGAATGTGATCCTGAAGGCCTCTACAATTCCGTTTCAATCTCTGTCCTAGATTCCCATCGGCTTATTCACATTGCTGTCTATCCGTTGCCTTTTGATCAGTTCTTTTTCGACGTGTGCCAGTTACGGTCTAATCAAGGTTTTGTTTGACGCCACTGACATTAGTTACAACTTAGTTGTTTGTTGACTTGTTATTGCATGCGTCGCAACCTCTCACCGCACTCTGAAACAGGTTACTTTGTGCTGTGATTTCCCTTTGAACAAGGCACTCTGTGGACAGTTGACATATACTACCGCCACACGATCATAGATTTAAGGAGCGGCGTACTATCTGATCGACGCTTTACTACCGGACCAAACTGGTGATACATATGATCACATTTTCAAATCAATCGATTTATGTTCTCTTGGTTTACTTATCGTCCCCCTTTTGTCAACAAAATCGCCACTTCATGGCCTACAACGCACCATATTTCAGTTGAATGTATACACAGGTCTGTCTGACCGTTACCAAAGCAACATCAAGTTAATCGGTTCATACCCACTTAAATTTTGCCTACCCTGTGCCACCGCGTCTGCGTTACCAGGCTCACATGCTCGCTATTGTTATTCCTACTTAAATGGTTCGCATTCGTTCAATCAGATATTAATGATGTGCCTTCGGAATTCACTGGTCCGATTATGACTATCTCCATGGGCACAATGTCTGATATTCTGTCTTCAGTTTTCACATTTATCTCTGTTTTGTGACTAGTAAGCCACAATGGAAAATATGTCCTAAATCGAAATCCGATTGGGCTGTATACGCACGGAAACAATGATTTTGTTGCATGTTCCTGCATGCATCCCGTGACTGCTTCGTCTTCGCTGGTTCCTGTCTTTCCTCTCCAAATAGATCTGTTAAAGATAGAAAGAATACTTCAAAGAAATTTTCTGTTCACTTTGAAATGGGATGAAACCAATAGGACGACAGAGGCATATATATATATATATATATATATATAAACACCAGCTTCAGAACAAGCATGGTGCCACGAGGCGAATATACATCAGGCAAGGGACGACCAGTCAAGGCGATTGCATACGCAGTGATTTGGCTACGATAACAATGTTATTAGTGTTGGTAATGTTTATTTTGCAAATTTATACTGAACGTCATCTATGAATTAGAGATTCGCCCCTCTGTATAACAGTCCTACACTAGGACAGCTGTGGGCTCTACATACGACGATGGCAAATCATTCTGAGCACATACTTAAAGACACTCTAGGCATATGAATGGAGAACTTGCTCATGAAATTTTTTCGTTGTTTCAAGCTTACATATTTAAGAGAGAGGTTCGGTTTCCATTGTAAACTTGCTGCTTCATCTCCGATTTTTTCGGTACCAGGCCTCGTGATTTGGCTTGATGAACTCCAATTATGGGAATCTGCAATACAAATGTTTGTCAGCATCTCAACAGCAGAAGTTTGTTACATTTTAGATTGTACGGCCACCAGGTGGCTTCTACTGGTTACCCAACGCACGATCAATACATGTTCGCAGCTCCACTGGAAATCTGACCCCACTTATAATGTAATGAAACCATTGAATTAGATATTGGTCCTTTAGGAAGTATGCCACTCTTGGCACACTTTTCATGCTCAATTATTCGCTGAGTCAGATGGTTTGAAAGTGTCGACATGTGCGATGTACAATATGATGGATTAGTATAGAAGTTTTGTCCATTGTTATAATGCTTATTTCACTTTTTCAGCTGCCCATGGATTGTACAAGATTGACTCAATTTTATTGTTGAAAACGTAAAACTTGCATCTGTTACTTCTTTCATCTGTCTGTTATTTTTATTTTTACCCGATGCCCTGTCCATTTTCTGAATGAGTTGGATGGAAACGGACTAGAAAAACGGTGGCGGTTGTTGCTTGGTGATGCATTGGAGGTTACTCATCGGGAGAATTGCGAAGTGTAACGCTCGTTTTCGATCGTCGTTCATGATATGCTCATTAACCAAGGATAGCTTAGGAAATACCTTTAATATTTGACTCTCNTCACTTATAACCACTGAAATTCGCTGTTTCTGGACAGAGTGCACATGAACAGTGTCAGTAAGTTTGCCCGTTAGTCCACGATTTACTTGTGAATGGTTCTCGCTCCGACTAAGATGACCCCCAAATTTTGATCGTATCTCAAACTTGTTGACCATGATGGTCGATATTCTTATTCTCTTCTATTTTATTTCTGTTTTACCAGGACTGTGATGCTCTGGATGTGGCCCATCTATGTCTTGAAGGGATAAGGTATTCCATACGCATTGCTTGTATCTTCCACATGGAAATGGAACGTGATGCCTATGTTCAGGCCCTGGCCCGTTTCACCTTATTGCTGACTGCTTCGGCTGGTAGTCATCCGTCCGGTAGCTCGATGGCAACTGGATCCGTTACGACCAGTACTGCATCGCATAAGCGTTCACGAACCGAAACGATTACGTCGACCACATCTGTATCATCCGGCGCTAGTGGCACTGGTTTAAGCGGCAGCGCTGTAAGCAGTGCAGNGGACGGGAGGACCTCAAACCGCACACTCGATGCTCTCCGGCAACACAGTATCTGTGGGCACCGCCACGACGGTGTCTAGTCCGGAAGCAATGAAGCAAAAGAATATTGACACTATTCGCACCCTGATCACTGTGGCTCAGACAGATGGAAACTACTTGGGTCATGCATGGGTTGAGATTCTTCGATGTATTTCTCAACTGGAATCCGCTCATTTGATTGCTCAACCAAACCAAAATGCTCTAACGGGCTCCTCTACATCTAGTCTGCTTACTCGGGCCGCATCTTTTGGTAAGTGACGATAGCATGAATAAATGCTAT